CATCTGCATGGTTGGTGACTGTTCAGAAATTGGTGAATAGGCATGATGAATGGACACTACACTTCATGGTTTAATCTCGACCGTCGATCATGGAACAGTGCGATCCAATGGCTAGAATGTATCAGACCAAGTGGTGCACTAGTTCGTGAAATGTCACACACCATTCAATGAGACACTTCAATCTCTATAAATAGAGACCTTCAAATTCGTTTTTTGTACACCAAATCAATTAATATATTCTTGATTTTTAAATTCGTTCTCTCTCCATAGTCTGCATAAATTCATACGTTATTTTCGTTGTTATTCCATTCGAGTACGTTCATTATTTGGTTCGACCGACAAGGTTGGTATTGTGCAATATCGATTTTAGAAGAAGCGTTGTATCTTGGGAGACAGACGTCCATAATCTCGTTTGCACGTTGTTGGGGGGCGAAATCTGTCTTAAGGAGATTTGCCTTGGTATACCTCGCTTCATCTTTTATTTTTATTTTCTACTATTTTCCTTGTTCTTTTGATTGAGTTAGTCGAATTTCCGACAACAATCTTAAGACATAGTCACTTTCTTTCTTTCTTCTACCTTTCTCTTTTTAATTATTTTCTGTAATTGTGGTTTTACAGAAAATGACTAGTACTATTGATAATAATACTAGTGCTGTGATTGCGCCAAACACTGGTTCCAATCAATTTGTCATGCCACCGGCTTCACAATATGAGAAATCGGAAAAATTCAATGGCACGGATTTCAAGCGTTGGCAACAGAAGATGCTATTCTATTTGACAACGTTAAACTTGGTAAAGTTTCTGCATGAAGAATGTCCCGCACAAATATTGGAGAATGTTACTGATAAAAATAATCAGTTAGCCATTGAAGCATGGAAACATGCAGATTTCTTATGTCGTAACTACATTCTCAATGGATTGGATAACACCTTATATGGTGTGTATTGTGACTACAAAACGGCTAAGGAACTATGGGAGTCTCTTGATAAAAAATACAAGACGGAAGATGCTGAAACGAAGAAATTCTTTGTTGGCAAATTTCTGGATTTCAAGATGATTGATTCAAAGACAGTAATGAGTCAAGTTCAAGAGATGCAAGTTCTACTTCATGATATTGAAGCTGAAGGTATGACTTTGAGTGAATCTTTCCAAATTGCTGCTATAATCGAGAAACTACCTCCACTATGGAAAGATTTCAAAAACTATCTCAAGCATAAACGCAAAGAGATGATGATGGAGGATTTAATTGTTCGACTTCGCATTGAAGAAGACAACCGAGCTGCAGAAAAGAAGAATATTGTACGCAACATGGAAGCAAAGGCTAATATGGTGGAAGACTTGGGGTCTAAGAACAAGAAAAGGAAGCGTTGTATCTTGGGAGACAGACGTCCATAATCCCGTTTGCACGTTGTTGGGAGACGAAATCTGCCTTAAGGAGATTTGCCTTGGCATATTTCGCTTCATCTTCTATTTTTATTTTCTATTATTTTCTTTGTTCTTTTGATTGCGGTAGTCGAATTTCCGACAACACAAAGTCGAATCCTGAACCTTCATTCCTCCTCTCTCGTTTATCTACTTTTCATCCTATCTCAAGCCATGTTTAACCCTGCCTATTGGGTTAGGGGGTGCATCCACAAATCTTTTCAAGGTTCAAGAAGATTTTTCATAAAGAAACCAATTTTGCACTGCTAGTTATATCCCAGTTAATATATCTCTGCAGCTGAGACATAAGTGCCAAAAGCCTTAAAAAATCTGAATACAACTTGACTGCTTTACAGAAATTCCTCCAACTCGATGAAATTTATCAATGAAATAATTTATCAATAAAATTCCTCCAACTCGACTGCTTTACAGAAATTTGAAAATAATTTAAAGAACTAGTCCAGCAAAACAGTAAACCAGAACTAATCCCAAGCACATAATGTAAAACCCATACGATCACTTTCCCTTTCTACCTTCGTAGTCTACACCCATTAATCCATCATCGTAAAACCATCCAAATTCATACAAAACAACAAGCAAATAATAAAACCCATTAGAAATTATGATTTATCCAACTACAGAATATATAAATTACGTCCAATATATTTTAACACGAAAGCCCTTCCCCCCTTTCCACCCCAAGAAAAGAATATAATCAAATAACGGAACACGTAATTAAAATAACCAGACCTAAAAAATTTAGAAATGAACAAGATACATGTATAATCAAATAAAGAGTACCCAATAAATCTCAACACACTGAAAGAAATGGGTAAAGATGACTTACCTTGAAATTTGTAGCCTTTCAGATAACACTTTTAGAGAGAACGGAAAGGAAGAAGCAGATTAAAAAATTGGAGAAAGTGGGGGCCAATCTCTGTGTATACGTATGCTAAACGGAACACAATTAAATGAGAAGCAATTACTCTTTTTCGACGCGAAGCTGTGGCATTACCTCAAATGTGGAATCCCTCCAACAAAGGCTCAAGAATCTTACTGGATCTACAACGGCGTCGGCACAGTGTGAAGAACGGTTGGTTTGAATATGGAGAGCTGAATTTTTGAGAAGGGAGGAGATCGAAGACGGGAGGCCGGAGGCGAGAGTGAAATGAGTGTGAGTGGAGTGAGTGGTGAGTTTGGACGTGAAGTGAGTGGTGAGTTATTTGTCATTTTCATCTTCTTCCTAACAATAATTCTGACCCAAAGTACATATTTTAAATATTATCAACTCTGAATTAATTTTAGACGTGCAAGGTATTTCAATTATGCAGAGGGGCAAAAATGTCCAATATTGACATTTTTGGAAAGAGTTAAAAAAAGTGACATTTTTGTAAATTTTCTTTAAAAAAAAAGATAAAAGAATTTAAAATATTAATAGGGGAATTTTTCATTAGCAAACCTCAACAACACTTTCTTGCAAGGTATTTCGATTATGCAGAGGGGCAAAAATGTCCTAAATTGACAATTTTGGAAAGAGTTTAAAAAAGTGACATTTTTGTAAATGTAAAGCCAAAAATTGACATTTTGTGCAATTTCCTCTTAAAATTATCTAGAGGGACAAAAATGTCCGAAAATGACAATTTCGCAAAGACTTAAAAAAAATGACATTTTTGTAAATGCAAAGTCAAAAGTGACATCTAGTGCAATTTTCTCATTTGGAGCCTATATTTGGACGAGGCATGTTTTGACTAAGACCAGATCGTTTAATAAAGATTTGAATAGTTTCCTTCATTGGGATGAGTTATGCAAAAGTCTTAAGGATCAAATTGCCACTAATAGCAATAGTTTTGGGGTAGCCCTGCCACCCAACAAATAGCACAACTCGGATTTCTTTGCTCATCTTCCCAAGATCCATTCAGCTTCCATTTTTTATTTTCCTCAATTCTTACTGTAAACAGGGGCGGATCCAGCACCTGGCCAGCCCCCGCGGCCGCCCGTGCTGGATCCGCCAGGAGCTTCAGTTGCCGACTCGTCGTCCACCGTCCGCCGGGAAGAAATGGAGAAGGTGGCTGATTTCCGGGAAGAAATGGAGGTGGCTGATTTTTTTTCTTTCTTATTGTCTATTTGTTTGGGCCTTTTTTTTAAAAAAAGTGAGGCTCAATGAATTGGGCCAATTTGCAACCCATTAACCACAAACAAAACCAAATCCAATTCCAAAATGGTGAGATACATTCTGAGGTGAGGAGGACGGCATGTGGAAGCCCTTTCGATTTCAAGCTGTTACTGAAATTGATGTCTACAGATCTGAGCCATGGGAACTTGCAGGTACGTATTTTCGTGCGTAAATTTTGGGTGTTTAAGGTGAGTGATCTGCTTGATGATTTGAGGATCTCTTGAAATCTCTAATTTGGGTTTTTTATTTAGTTATGAGATTTTTCATAAATTTTCAATGATGGATATCAATTTTCCAAAAAAATAGATTATAGGTCTTGCGACATTGATACTGAATATGAGAGATCAATGGGATGATTTTGGGATTTTCTTGAATATATTATTTGGGGAGTTTGATTGTGGACAAAATGGGTTTGAGAGGAAATTAGGATTTTAATAAAGGGATGCAATTACGAGGTTATCTATGATTTATTGTGTTTTAAGGGTTAGTTTGGATGATTTGTCATCCACGTCTAATTCAATTAATGTTTTACCATTTTTAACGGCCACGTCAACATACCGTCCTCCACGTGGATGGAATGAGTGGATTCAGAATTTCTTTTAGTTATTTTGTTTGTGATTATTTCTGTCTAAAGATGAACTTTTATATGAAATGATAAATTAGAGGGAATTGAAGAGAGGATTAATAGACAGAAATATATATTGAATGCATGTATTTATAGGTATACGTGTGTGGGTGTTGAGTTGAGTTGGGGATCCAAGATTTAACTTTGAGTAACATTTGTATTGATATGAATTTAAACTTTTGCATACTGAGTTCTTAACTTGTCATTAGATTCTCATGTGCCTATGGTTTACCTCAAATTCTACTTTTTCCACGGTTTTCTTTTGTCTGTTTGCAATTCTTTTCCAATCTTTCTAATGAATAGTCATGTCTCGTGATTTCTGCTATGAAGATTATGCGCATGAATGCATCCCTGAAGACGAGATCTAGAATGGTATTTTTTTAGCCTTGTGGATAGAAAATACGGCAATGGGTCTCAGCTGAATTGTGCCACTGGTAAAGGGTACTGGAAAGGACCGCCCTGTGCGCCATAAGTACCAAACTATTGGAATGAAGAAAACCCTTGTTTTCCATAGTGGATGAGCACCAAGGGCGAATCCACTGCGGAGCCGGAGTGCGGACCTGCTATAGTGCTGTCAATGGTCAATGATCAACATTCAATGGTCGGTCCGCCCGTGCTGAACTTTGAACCTGGATTCGCCCCTGACTGTAAAGATACATAAAATTTACGCACATAAAACATAATTCTTGGCTGAATTCTACGATTTCTTGAAAACTGAGAGGCAAATCAATGTTGTTGACCCAAGAGTAATATTCTAATATATCGAGATATTCGATAATAATGGTGATGGATGAGGCGGGAGGATCAACGCTAGAGACAACAACACAAGCGGCTCAAGGAACGACGTTGTATGTTTCGGCCTCAATTTTCTCGAATTATCCATTAATGTCTGCCCTCATCGCCTTTGCGCTTGCCCAGACTTTCAAGCTCGGTCTCTCCTGGTACGCTTTTGATTCACCATTGCACACACACATACACACTTAAGTGGGTGTTTTGTTATGTCAATGAATTAAGCTAAATGAACATAATGTTTGACATATAGATTGACGAACCCCTCACATTGCACGTGGGTATGCCGACCTCCCCTCGTGCGTGTGGGGGTGTTCCCTGTGTGTTAAGCATTATGTTTGTGTAGCAAAACTCTATTTCAATTGATTTTTGCTTGATTTAAGAAATCTTGGAAATGGGATCTGTTTTTAAAAATTATTATTTTCTTGAAAATGTTTATTCAAACGATTATATCTAAACTGTGTTGCAATTGCATGCATCTGTTAAGAAAAAATTATGATTTGCTGAATTAGATGTCTTTTTTTTTTCTTTATTTATATCTATGCTGATTCCGATCTTCAATTAAAATATTTTTGTAAGAAATAGGAAAAAGATTAATATAATTCAATAATTATAAGAAAATTTGATAATTCAATTCAACATATCCATAAGTACGTCGCAGACAAAAACTGCAACCCTGTGATTTAGTTATCTCAGCATATAAGCTCATAAAGGGAAATAAAGAAAGATGAAAAAATGAATTGTTCATAGCAAATATCTAACCTGGCGGAGACGAAAAAGCCAGCCCCTAATTTATTGGGAACGATGATTAGTTTGTTGTCTTTTTTCATTGTAGTGTAGTAAGTAGCTAACATAAATTCAATACGATTAACACATCCTTTAAAAGACACTGTCCGAGTGCTAGTCCTCCGAGAGTAAATCAATGTTAAAATTTTCTTCTAAAGGCTTGTTAATAAAACCTTCGTTATGATAATACACCCAAGTTATTTAGCCTCGCAAGTACCTGTTTAGGTCAAGTCCGGTAGTTTTGTAAATAATCTTTCGAGCAATGTGCAGTTCAGTGAACGGGTCATGGTCCAATTTGGTTGGAGGATGAGGAAAAGAATGCAAGGGTGAATAGCCATTATATAGATTTGTAATTTGACAAACTAATTTGCAATTTTGCATAAACTTCAATTTTATTGAAATACATCATGCATAGCTGATAAAATCAAGGAAGGTTAAGAAATTGTAGCTGAAATTAAGGGAACAAAAATTAACAGAGAAAGAAAATGGATAGGCCTGCTGTTAAGGGCAGGGAAGATGATGAATATTCATTCATTTAACTTAAGGAAATTATAATGCAATCTATTGTATTTATAGAGAAAATAGCTAACAAATTATTTAACAAACTAACAAGATAACAAACATAAGAAGGAACTAGAAGAAGCTAGAATCTGTAAGCTGGAAAAGCTGCTGAATCGCGATATGTTGAGTGGTTGTTGAACATGTGCTGGTGAACGTGATCTGTTGCAAGGTTTGCTGAGCTGATTGCTGGTGACTGGAGAATATTCCAACACTCCCCCCCCTCAAGATGGAACATCTTGAACCGTAGAGAGAAGAGTAAAGATGCAATTAAGGAAGTATAATTGCAGGAATTCGAAAAAATGGGTGTGGAACATGACTGAGGTTCCAATTGCAGGTTTTGAAGCTTCCTGGGAAGCCCGTTTTCAATGAAACAATTCCTTGTTTCGAATCATCTTCAAAATTTCGTCACAGACACTTCGTCTACCTTGGATTTTCTTCATCAGCACCTGTGTTCTCATCAAAAATACTTTGTTTGCCTTGGATTTTTCTTCATCGCTTGATTCAGAAGATAAATTAATCATTTTCTGAAGAATTGAGAAGCTGCCATCCTAGCAGGTTCTATCTTCAATTTCGGGTTTCAATTTCGTTTTGATTCCCTTTGATCGAGAATCTGATCAGGAATTTTCATTCATGTCCATTTTGACATTTCGTTGACCATTTAGTGAGCCAAGTCACTATCTTGTTTTCTGGTAGATTCAATAGAGAAAAGATAGGGAAGAAGATGAATTGCAGATGGAAGGATCAGAAACCCGCTCTGATACCATGATAAAATCAAGGAAGGTTATGAAATTGTAGCTGAAATTAAAGGAATGAAAATTAACAGAGAGAAAATGGATAGGCCTGCTGTTAAGGGCGGGGAAGATGATGAATACTCATTCATTCAACTTAAGGAAATTACAATGCAATCTATTCTATTTATAGAGAAAATAGCTAACAAATTATCTAAGAAACTAACAAGATAACAAACATAAGAAGGAACTACAAGAAGCTAGAATCTGTAAGCTGGAAGAGCTGCTGAATCGTGATCTGTTGAGTGGCTGTTGAACATGTGCTGGTGAGCGTGATCTGTTGCAAGGTTTGCTGAGCTGATTGCTGGTGACTGGAGAATATTCCAACAATACCAGTATTCATAAACAAGTAGATAAAAATCCGGTATCTCTTATGATCTTGATAACATGTTGTAGGACGACCACCCGTGTGTCTTTCTAACTGGAGCTTGAGTAAATTTTCTGGCAAGATAAGAGGTCAATTGGAACATATGCATAAGGCGCTGCAGTTAACACTTAGCAAAATACAATTGATAGTAGTATGCTTACTCTACACATTGTACATTATTTTACTCCAGACTTACAATCGTATTCAGAGCATGTCTAGGTCATGAACCCAACCCTCATTTGGTACCCTGATGCAATACTAGCATGTAGTTGGCATGTTTGAAGCAAGGTTCTAAAAGTGTCAAGGCGTGGAGATCAAGTCTCTAACCTTACGTAATAAGTCGTTTTCCTATTTTTAATATTATTTTAATTATTCTAAATTCATAAATAAATAAAATAATGCATATCTTGAATATTATAGGAATTTCATATATATATTTCAAATTTCCAACAAAAACATAATTCTCAAAATCATAAACACCCTAAATCAGTAATGCTTTGTTCGTGGGCACTGAAAGCTATGCTCGTAGACCAGGCTGGGTTTTTTGTTGGACTTATTTCCTTTTTAAGTTTTAGCAGTTTAGCATTTTGTTGGGCTGGACTTTGAAACAATAAAATACCACTTGCCTAACAAAAAGGCACATGCCTTTTAGAATACTGGTTTAAGTATTTCCTTATCTTGAAACTTTGATGGCTTCTTCAATAAGATAGTATGTACAACACTGAAAAGTAATAAAGAAGAAAAACAAGCTAAAATTTTGCCCGTGATAGTGTTCAATCCAGTCAAATACTACGTACTAAACGAATTCTGAGAGTTGAGAGAGGTATTTAGAGCATATTAGAGAGTTTCAAAGTTTTAAGTTGGTCAAACGTCATTTTATCCATGCATTTGGTTGAACCCAACACTTTTACCAATTTTTATCACCTCATTCCGCATGATCCACTATAAAAGCAATATCAATCAAGCACTTAATCTTGTTTCTATACTACCTAAAAGTTTCATGCACTCAGAAAAATAAAAAATAGCAGGGTTAAATGCTGCTCAAAAAACCCTTAAACGTAGACTGGCAATGAGAAATATATTTGTTATTTGTAAAATTCTCTCGGTGTTATAAATCTTGCAGGTACAACGAAAGACATTGGGATCTAAAGCAACTTGTTGGATCTGGTGGTATGCCGTCGTCCCATTCAGCAACAGTAGTTGCTCTTATGGTTGCTGTTGGTTTGCAGGAGGGCTATGGAGGATCACTATTTGCAATGGCGTTTATCTTGGCATGTGTGGTATGATATCTCTTGGTTGTTTGTGGTATAATCCTGCCTTTCTACATTCCTGTGAGACTATTATTGACTTGGCCCATGTTTGAGCCCCATTATATAAAAACTCATTTTTCCTCAAATTCATTTGTAACCATACATTCTTCCAATAAAATAATTTTACACGTAAACCCGAAACTTTTCCTACTTTTTTACCATACATTCTCCAAAAGATCACTATTGAAAAACTCATTCTTTCAAAAAATGGAGCTCAAATACACCCTTAGTGTGTCCTGGCTAGCTTAAAAAATTACTAATAAGTTTACTTATAAACAAGTGAGTTTTAAAAGAAATACATTGGTTTCTTGGTATTGCTTACAATTAGTTGGCCCTATGAAATGTGTAGATAAAAAATATGTTCAACCAACTTAAAGAAAAAATTAAGCACGTCCAAACATGCAATAGTTTTTTATTTGGTCGAAATTGGAAACAAGGAGGTTGCTGATTTTGAAAGTAACTTATAACTTGCTTTCAAAATAGGTATCATTTTTACTGTAGTTAAGAAAAATTTAAGACCTCCAAATATGTTTGGAATCATAAAGGTTGATTGTATAAAAATACCCACGTCTGTGGAGCTGTTGATTCGTAAAATCAGTGAGAAGAAAGAAATTATATGGACAGAATGTTTATTGTAGTTTTGATTTTTTGGTCTCCTTCAAGCATAAACACTTTTCCATTACTTGGTTGTCCTTAAATCAGATTTTCACATGTTTTCACTTATTTATTGTTATATAAAACGTAGAATACTTATAAGAACAACCTGTGGCAGGTGATGTATGATGCGACGGGTGTAAGATTACACGCTGGAAGACAAGCAGAGGTTTGTGGCTCTTGCTGCTGCCGGTTTGTATCCGTGCAAATATAGATGCATGTGCAAATGCGTAAGCATGTTTGCTCGCGTTTTCTTGTAAAAAATTGATAGATTTGAAGATACCATATGCTGTTATGAGTATACAAAGTTTTATGCTATGTACACGAGAAAAATCTAACAAACTGATTTTCAGTTTTTAAATCAAATTGTATGTGAACTTCCAGCTGAACATCCTCTAGCCGAGAGCAGACCATTGCGTGAACTTCTTGGTCATACACCTACTCAGGTTCATTTTTTTTGCTTTAACGGAAGATAAGATTTTTTACATCATATCATTTACTTTTTGTCCATCTGGGGCACTAGTATTGAATTTTTCTTAATTTAATTTTCCCTTTTTTCTTTACATTGCCTACTCAACGACGTTTCCCAGTAAAAGAAGGCCAAGTGGGATGAAATGTCATCCCAAGCCTTCTCAGACCTACCTTTATGACAAAGTAGGGAAAGTGCCTATTTCTATGTTTCACCAATTAAAAGAAATAGTCATTTCAGAACTTATTTACTTATAAGAAACTTTTTAAGCTTAGCCAAACATGCTCCTTGGATTTCTTGATTCTTTTCTTGCTAAACTTTTCCATCTCTGTTTGTAAATGGCTAACATGGAGATTTTTATGGCTTGATTGGCGTGGACTGCGGAGTGTTAAGAAAGACGAAAAAGTTAAAATCTTGAGCATTGTACCATTTAATTTGATACCGTGTACCAAACATACTCTTAGGATGCATTTAGTATGAGACCGTATAAGGAATCTAATACAAAATTAGAATGGAAAATATTAGGTGGATAATATTTTTTAATCTTTCATTCAAAAGAATGCCATTTACTACTCTTTACCCTACTCCACATAATGTTATACGTGCAAATAGCATTTATTTACGTAGTATTTTCCATTCTAATTTTACTCAAGATTCATCGCACCGTTGATTTGCATTTCATGTAATCGTTATTTTAGGTTAAGTCTTTGCCTTTTTGGGTTCATTCAACACCTTTAATGAATACCTGCAATAGTTCAATTTGTGGAATCCCATCTAATCCAGATCATATCTGGTTTTATATATTGTCACAAATTTGATATACATTTAAAAATAAATTTTTGAAATTCGTTTGTGCTTCAGGTAGTTGCTGGTGCACTGCTGGGACTTGTTACAGCAACAATCATCCATTTGATCATTGGCTCAAGCGTTGGAACTTGATCATTACATTTCTTAACTTAGACCGAAGATTTTCAGGATACAGATTTATTGTCATTTCGACTCTCCAGCTACACAAGAGGGTGTTGTTCCGAGTTTCCGTTTACATTTGTGTATCTTCTTTCTATGTGAACAAAAAGGACAAAGTAAAGGTGATAGTAGTTTGATGCATTGTAAGGGAGGGAGAAATCCTAGGACTTGCCTTTAGACCAATATTAAGATCTCTGTACGCGAGTCTAGCTGCCTTTAGACTAGTAACTCAATTTATGGCCTGTAATCATGCTCTATGACAGAGAGCAATAAGGAACTCTAATTATAGAAGATTTACACAGTAATAATGGAGAAATTACAGGAAAGATATTAGCACAAAATAAACTAATTATAAGGTCTAAGATTTTGGTCTATCATGCCCCCGCAAGATTGAACCCCGCAAGATTGAGCTTCCATCATGGATGCCAAGCTTGGAACGATGAAGGAGGAAGGACTTCCGATTTAGAGCTTTGGTGAGAGAATCTGCAAGTTGGTCACTAGTATGTACATGGGACACACGTAGACGATTGTTGAGAACTTGATCACGCACGAAATGAAAATCAATGGCAATGTGTTTCATACGGGAGTGAAAAACAGGATTTTTGCTCAAATACGTAGCACCAATATTATCACAAAAAATTGTTGGAACAGCAGGGACATCAATGTGAAGTTCCTATAGCAAATTAGTGATCCAGTTTAACTCAGCAGCGGTTGAAGCAAGGGCACGATACTCAGCTTCAGTGGAAGAGCGAGCAACTGATTTTTGCTTCTTAGAACTCCAACTAATCGGAGTAGCGCCAAGGAAGACAACATGAGCAGAGGTAGATGTGCGGTCATCATGATTTCCAGCCCAATCAAAATCGGAGAAGGCGTGAAGTTGAGCAGAGGGGTAATTGCGGATCAAGATACCATGTGTACTTGTGCCATTGAGGTAACGTAACAAACGTTTAACAGCAGACCAATGAGTAACTGACGGACAATGCATGAATTGTGACAATTTATTGACCGCAAAAGAGATATCAGGCCAAGTCAAGGAAAGATATTGTAATGAACCAAGTACTCTGCGATATTGTGTAGCATCAGTTGCTGAACTACCATCACGAAGTTTGAGAATCTCGGTAGGGGATAATGGCGTAGACACGGGATTAGCCTCAAGCATGTTGTTACTTGAGAGAAGATCACGAATATACTTTGATTGTGCAAGAAAGAGGCCGTGAGGAGTGGATGTGGCCTCAACCCCCAAAAAGTAATGTAAGGGACCAAGATCTTTGAGAGAAAACCGAGTAGCTAAAACACTAATGAAGTCCGAAATAGCCGAAGAGTGATTCCCTGTGATGATAATATCATCAACATAGACAAGCAAATATAGTGTGGTAGAGCCATGATGCAATATAAATAATGAGTTGTCAGAATGAGAATTCTGAAAACCATGGTAGAGCAGAAAAGATCGCAGTTCTTGATACCATGCACGTGGAGCTTGACGCAGACCATATATAGCTTTGTGAAGTTGGCATACATAGTTAGGATACTGAGAGTGAACAAACCCTTGAGGTTGCTGCATAAAAACTTTATCAGTAAGAGTGCCCTGCAAAAAAGCATTGTTAACATCCAATTGTCGGAGTTGCCAACCACGAGCGACAGCAAGATTCAAGATGAGTCGAATCGTTGTGGGTTTAACAACGGGACTGAAGGTATCGGTAAAATCCACACCCGGGCGTTGATGAAACCCTTTGGCAACTAACCGTGCCTTATAGCGAGCAATGGTACCATCGGGATTCTTCTTAATCTTAAATACCCATTTAGACCCAACAACATTTTGTGTGTGATGAGGGGGAACGAGAGTCCAAGTAAAATTGTGTATAAGTGCATCATATTCCTCACTCATGGCTTTTCTCCAATGAGAGGATTTTTGAGCTTGAAGGAATGTAGAGGGTTCAAAGGTTTCTGAAAGTGTAGTGTGAAGGTCAAGAATTTTACGAAGCTTGTAAATATTATTTTGAGATCTGGTTATAATTTGTTTTATGGGGAAGGAATGGGTAGGTGATTTAGAGGAGGAAATGGGACATAGAGATAAAGAAGGAGGTACCTGATGAGAGCTTAAGTTGTTGGCATCCTTAGTAGAAGAGGAACTCGACAGTATTGAGTGAGAGCCATTGTCACCACCTGAATGAATGGAATTAGAAGCAGGTGTACTAGGTGAGATTGATTCGTGAGGGTGGTGTTGACTAAGTGAGGTGAGTCCTTGATTGGAGGAAGAATTGATGATAGGAACCTGATGAATTAAAGTAGCTGGAATATGACTTAATGTAGTTGGTTGACTCTGAATAGTGGAGTGAGAATTAGGAGGAAGATATGAGGAATGTGAAGGTAGCCATTTAGAAAGAGAATCGGTGGATAGCCTACAATCATGTGAGGATATATTTTGAAAAGGGAATGTATTCTCAATAAATATAACATGTCGAGAAATAAAAGATTTTTGAGTGGATGGATCGAAACAAATATAGGAATTATGTGGGAGGGAGTAGCCGAGAAAAACACAAGGCTTAGACCTTGGTTCTAATTTGTGAGATGTATAGGGTCGTAACCAAGGATAACAGAGGCAACCAAAAACCTTGAGCTTTAGATAGTTCGGACTTTTTCGAAATATCTTTTCAAATGGTGATACAGATTTTAGAACTAGTGTAGGCATGCGATTAATAAGAAACACAGCAGTTTGAAAAGCGACTGACCAAAAACGAGGAGGCAAAAATGCTTGATGAAGGATTGTGAGGCCTATTTCGACAAGATGGCGATGTTTTCGTTCAGCCGATCCAACTAATTCAGGTGTATAGGGAGGAGATTTTAGGTGTTGAATACCAAAGTTGGACAGAATAGTTGCCAGACCTTGAAACTCACCCCCACCATCGGAGTATAGTGTTTTAATGGTTGTTTGAAAGAAGTTTTCGACTAATTTTTTAAATTTTAAGAAAATATGATATACATCAGATTTTTGTTTCATTGGATAAAACCATGTATATTTAGTATAATAGTCCACAAAGATGACATAATATCGAAAATTATCAAAAGAAATAATGGGGGAAGGACCCCAAACATCTGTATATATAATTTCTAAAGGGGAATTACATTGCACAGATGAAAGGCCAAAAGATAGTTTGTGACTTTTATTACAAAGGCATGAGTCACAATGAGACGAAACAGAATTTAAAATAGGGAGAGAGTGTTTAGAGACTAATTTTTGTTGAATTATTGAAAACGGATGACCAAGACGACGATGCCATAAATCGGAGGAGACAACGGCGGAACTGATAAATGCAGTGGGAGAGGAAATATGCGATGGTGATGATGAAGATGGCCACTCATAAATATTGTCTTTATTCCGACCTCGGACCAAGGATGCCCCCGTACTCAAATCCTTCACAAGGAAAAAGTTAGGAAAGAATTCTATAGAAGCATTATTTTGTTTACAAAATTGAGAAACTGAAAGAAGATTTTGTTTAATATGTGGTGCACACAAAACATTGTTAAGTTTAAATTGAATATTAGAAGAATTAAGAGAAGTAGACCCAATATGAGAAATAGGAATACCATTGCCATCACCAACCATAATGTCTTCATTGCCGCCGTATTCTGAATGGACGCTCAAGTTTTGTAAGTCTGAAGTGATATGGTGAGATGCTCCAGAGTCAACAATCCAATTGCCACGGTTTGTAGCTTGATCAGATTGTGCAAATGAGTTGTAGTTTGCTTGGGGCCACCCTTGAGTAAAGTTTGGTTTAGGACGTGATCTACATGTTTTGGCTGTGTGTCCTGCCTTGTCACATAACTGACAAACAACATTTTTGGAACCTGATGAGTGTGTTTTCCATGGTGGTTGTTGATGGAATTGCTGTTGATGAAAGTGAGTCTGAGATTGATTGGGAGAATTGTGAAAGGACTGAGAGGGACGAAATCCTTGGTTATTTCCATTTTGAGAGAATTTGCTACCATAATTGCTAGTTACTCCTCGGATGTTGCCATTCTTTCCTTTATAATTGCTGGTGCGTTGATTGAATTGGGCTATAACAGGTGGCTCTACCTTCTTTCCCTCTTCACGCTTAAGAAAAATTTCATGATCTGAGAGTTTATCATGAAGTTCTTCAAAAGTCATGGTTGTTTCTCTGGTTCGAATAGCAGCTTGCAATTCTTTGTAATCATTTCCAAGTCCATTTAGTGTATGGGCTACAACTTCGGCATCACTCAAGGGGTGACCAATTAGAGATAGATCATCAATGATACCCTTGATATTCTTCATATACTCAACAATGGTAATTCCTTCTTTTGATACCTTCATAAGCGTTGAAAGTAGAGTGAGCATTCTTATGTGTGACTTGTTGGCAAAAGTGGTCTCCAATTTTGACCACGCATCTGCTGATGTTTGGCAAGATGATATCAGCAGAGCAATATTGCCTGCGAGACTGGCTTGAATGGCTTGCAATACAAGGCGATCTTGACATAACCAAATCTTCCGATCCGGATTAACCGATTCTGTCGTTTCTCCTGTCTTCACCATTGTTTCAGCCGGACATGGATATGTACCCTCAACATATCCCATAAGATCATATCCAAACAAGAGATTGCTGAACTGTGATCTCCAGGAGGCATAGTTCCCTCCTCTAGAGAGTTTGATCGGAATCAGAGTTGCAGCATTGATTGAGACAAGAGAAGCATATTGTAATGAAACATTGTTCCCTGTTAATGCTGTTACAGCAGGGATTGGAGTTGCTGGAGAACTTGCAGAATTTTCAGCCATTAGATTGAGATGAAAAAAAAAAAGATAGAAAGGAAGAGAAAAAGGGGGGAAAAAAAAAAGGAAGTTCAAGGGTGTTTATGCTTTGAGCATGAATGCTTTGATACCATAAAGATTTTCAAAATATGGTGGAAGAATTGTGTATATCTCATTATGTAATTGAGTGGTATTTATACAAGAGTTTTGCCAATATATGGCCTGTAATCATGCTCTATGACAGAGAGCCATAGGGAACTCTAATTATAGAAGATTTACACAGTAATAATGGAGAAATTACAGGAAAGATATTAGCACAAAATAAACTAATTATAAGATATAAGATTTTGGTCTATCAATTTTAACGGTTAATTTCATTATTATGCACCATCTCCAGAATTTCCAAATAAAGTTCAAGAAGAATTTTAATTAAAAAAAAACCATAAATATTACTGCAGAATACAAAACTTTGGTAGAACTTGAAATATTTATAGATACATACCTCATCACCTCCATTGACAAAAATGGGATTTTTCTTAAAATCTCTAGAATAAAACAGAATCCTCCTCCTCCAAAAACTACAAAAAAGATGGAAGAAACCCAGTCAATGGATCCATGAACCTGTCGATGTAGATGTAGATGCAGATTGAATTTTTTGGGGCAAAATCGCCAGGTTCGCCTTAGGGTTTGTGGGTTTCAATTTAGGGCAATTTCATTTACTTCCACATAAACGATTTTGCCTTCAGTATGAAAAGTAGTGTTTAAATTTGTAATACATGGTAAAGGCGTGCTTGGATTGTGACGTAGCGGAAGATTATAGGAAAGATGAATAACCTCACAAAGATAAGAGAAAACTCACGAAAACTTTCTGCTCCTTGTGACAATGCTATTAGAATCACGCATTATAGAAGCGTAACAACTAAGACTTCAAAATCACACTAGACATTATTGAAGTACTTCACTATTGAATAAGTAAATGAAATTAATTCACTGAACAAAATATTAACATTTACCAACAACTAGAAAATGGGTACCAGAATATATAATTTCTGTAAGATTTAAAAAATTATATTCCATTATAGGACAAGTATCTTATTTGGAAAATGTTTTTTTCATTATAAACCGCTAAAAGTGAATTGCATGTTCACGGCGTCAAGTCTGGACTGAACATTTGTTACCTTAATATGATATGAATTTGAGATTAAAAATAAAATTTTAATTCCTTATGTGTATTAAGTTTTTGTGTTTTTGGCATTTATATCTTTTAATGTTCATGGTGGAAGTAAGCAATGTCCACAAGGACAATCTTGACCTTCTGAAATTTTCAGAACTGATTTATTTGTAGCCCAAATGACAATTTTCATGGGGATCAGGTGATGGAGGCAGCAGAACGGGCGGAGCTTGAAGAAGCGAGCCCCTATCAGAGAAAGCCATTGCGTGCTAGCCTAGCTAGCTAACTTACATCCATTTAACTTGAAGAGTTAGAGATTTGAGAAACAATTATCCTTCGTCCATATCATTTGAACACCCTGAGTTAGCACATTGCATTGAATGCTTCTCATTCTTCGAAAATCAGATAATTTGATAATTATGTCACTAGGGTCACTTTACCACCGTTGGTGAGATCATGTTGAGTACATGTCCGAGCACCACCACATCCCCATTTAAATGTGTTTAGGTTCGAAGAGCAAGGGCAGACAGTCAATTTTCCATTGCTGGTCCTCTTGTTCTTTCACTAAATTTTGTCTATGTTGAGAGTTCTGAGAGATGTTTTGGCAGGCAAAACTCTTGTGGTCTACCGCGCCACCTCGTCTGAACCTCTGATTGGTGGCCGTCGATTATACAACTTGTGTTTCCTCCAGTAGCTTTTTCATCCTTATTCTCATCCGGAGAGAACATTGTTAAGCATCTTTTTGCTTCAAGCCCTCAACAAAAAAAGTTTTTGGAATATAAACTTAGAAATATTAACATCTACTATAGTAACATTGCGCGTGCATCGTGCAAATTCAGCACTTGGATTGCACAACCTAATTGAGCATTTGAAATGCAATGAAGTAATCCACTAGTTTTATTTTTTAGACAAATCAAACTCATTATGGCAAATGAGGTCTTCGAAAACAGTTATTGTAATTTTAGACGACAAAAGATAATTTCTCTCACCACATCTTTACTTACCAAACACTTATAAGACATATATTTAACATGGGATTACAATTACCGACCAAAATCCGTGTTTACTTCCTCATACTACAACATGAAGGCTCAAAATTAAGGGTATGACTTTCTATTCCTTGCGACAAAAAATGACGTGTTTACAAAGGCATACGTGCTAAGGTTTAAAAATCAGCACAGGAGGCGCCCGGTGCTGCAGCGCCTGGCAATCTGCCGAAAAAAAAAAAAAAAAAAACCTATATATATATATATAGTTTTTTTTTTTTTTTTTTTTTTGCGTCACATCCAAATTCTAACACCCAATAACTTGATAAAGTTTGACGTTTAGAACTTGATTGAAGTGTGATTCATGAACACCATCCGTGATATGATAATATGATCAAGCTTCCTTATCTAGAACTAACATAAAAGTCGATCATAAGTTCTTAAATATGCCATCATCTTCAGTGTCAGACATGCATTTGAACAAGAATCTATCATTTCAACCTTTGGGGACCGAGTGCGCACAGATGCCATGTAATGAGATATCATACTTGCCCAGGGACCCATGTGAAACATCCATTCCGAGAAATAAGCTTGGAATCTTAGATATCGGGGGGAGAGAAGAAGATTTCTCAACAGCCAACGTAGAATTTAGTCCATCGAGCTTCAAATTGATCTTTAATAGGGCATTAGTAAATATTAAACTCTAGCTGGAGCCAAGCACTGGGCAACTACGCCAAAATCTACCAGATTTTACCACTTCCAAGGATCATAAATGTCACAGTTTTTCCTCTCAGGAAACAAACAAATAAGGAACTTTGGCGGCCCAAACTTTTGTCAGAACATCTTCAAACGTCTTCTCGACCTGAACAAGAGGTTAAGCTCGACTATATTGTGGGTTCTCTTCAAAGACAACCAACGACATAAGCTCCTTTCTTCATTTCTCTATGCCAAATATGTGCCAAGACTACGTACGTCATAAAAATTATATTCCCTTATTCCACAAGTATCTTCATAACCATTTTGAAAAAGATTTTCAAGAATAAGCAACTAAAACAGAATTTTATGTTGCACACATTCAATTCGAGCTCAGCACGTGAACTACACGATCTAGTTGTTGTCATCACTCTGGACACTTGGATCTTTTTATAAAGAACACGGGGTTCCTAAATATAAGAGTATGTTTGATCCTCATTTTTTTATAAAAATGTATTTTGAAATAATGACTTGACACAAAATTTGTGGTTCAAAAATAAGAAAATTTTTTGAATTTGTGAACTTTTTACTGAAGAATATATAATTGAAAATTAAAAAAAGAAAAATGTATTTTGAAAATAATGGGAATCAAACAAATGCTAAATTTGATTTGAGATTAAGCTTCCGTTTAAGTTTTTATTTGACACACATTCTTTCAAAATTTCATTTTCAACCACATATTTTTCAATAAAATAATATTTTTTATCACATCAATAACTTTTTTTTTACTTTTTAACCGAATATTTCTCATCATATCGCTATTTAAAATATATTATTCCCTCAATAATACCCATCAAACACACCATAAATACAAATTTATAAAGATTATATAAACTCATTCAAAATCAAATATTAATTTTAACCATACATTCGTAATTATTACACATTATATTCATACATTTTATGGGACCTTTGAACACATCTTCGAGCACCACCATGTTCCCATCTAGTTCAATCTAGGTTCGAAGGCAATGGCAAACCGTCAAATTTTCAATTGTTGATCCTCTTGTGAGCAAAACTCTTGTGGGTCCCCTTCCTAATCTCTGATTGGTGCTCCTTAGTTTAAGGAAATAATTTTTTTTTTAATCATTTCATAATACAATTTTTAATTACATAAATATCCTTTCTTGCACCAATCTCCTCCGGTCTCTACCCCTCTATCATCTTTCTTCTTTTTTCCTCACTTTGACGAGAACCCTAAAATTTCCATTCTCATCAATTCTTGAATCTATCCAAAATGTTGAGGCACGCAAGTAAGATGATTCTGGGTCAAGGGCTGCGATTCCCTTCAACGCGGGCGGTGACGGTGGGAGCAGGTACGCCGCGAATGTACCATGAGAGGGTTGTGGATCACTACAGCAACCCGAGGAATGTCGGGTCCTTCGACAAGAACGACCCGAATGTTGGTACAGGTCTGGTGGGCGCCCCAGCTTGTGGTGACGTCATGAAACTTCAGATCAGAGTCGATGAGGAGAACGGAAAAATTGTTGATGCTTGCTTCAAGACGGTTGGCTGGGGTTCTGCAATTGCTTCCTCCTCTGTTGGTTCGTTATCTATTTATTCTTCTAGGGACTAGGAAAGTATGGTTTGTCGTGAATTTTGATGCATTAATTGGTTGTTTTTGTGGAGAAATTTTCAGTCTTCTAAGTTGTTCTTGTTAAGGTGAATTTCAGGGAATTTCTTTTCATAGGTGGATTTATCAATTTTTGGCTAATTAATGAGCTGGAAGGTCTCTAAATGTGAAAATTTATAGCTCTAATAATTTACTGCTGCTCAACAAAACTCTCTTTTGATAGAACTGATAAAATTGATTGGAGTTGTTTCATCTTCCCTGGTTTTGTCTGCCGAGTTTTGAATGGCATCAACAGTTTTGGCTGTAACAATTGATATTTGGTTTCCAGTAACAATTAGTTTATTAACATTGATCATTATAAGTTTGAAATTAACAGTATCGTGAATGTGCACATGAAATAGAATACTTGTTGATTGGTTCTCGCTGCTTGGATAAGTTGATTTAGGTTTTTCTTCCATTTGGTTTTCAAATTTGTTCCACTATATTTTAGCTTTTGGCACAGAAAATCTTTTACTGCACTGGTACATTGTTCAAGCACAATGCC